GGGTCCCGGCCGCACCTTACAGAGAGGACAACCCCTCCCTGCTTTCCAGACTAACTTCTATAGAGCAAAGGCCATGTGGTTGGGCCTGGCCACACACAGGTGGCCAATGAGATTGTAACACACACAGGAAACACCACAGTGATGCTAGGTGACCAACTGAATTACAATTTACCCTATAGTAGACATTTGAACCAGCCTATCACCTAGTTCAGAATTGGCGCCCAAAAGGTACCCAAAGGGCGAGGCCCATACTCCTTGGTAGCTAGGAGACAGTGTGCGCCCCCACTGATTGAATACCTCTACCTGGCCTGACCCACCCTTGTATTTGGACTTTGTTACCTGGGACTGGTTTCTGGGACTTTTTTTAAAGTAAATTTTCCTGGGCCGGGGGTGGGGGGGTGCAGAGTCAATTTAAGTTTTACAACAAAATGGCAGTTCAACCGGGGAGGGGCCGCTCTGTAAGGAATAGGCCCTTACATTACCAAGCCCCCATTGGGTGCAGACCCTTGGACCTGCCACATCACTTGGGGGCACACTGCCCTGGAGCCCTTTCCCTTTCACAGAGATCTGAATTTACTCTTTAGGAACTCGAGCTGCCAAACAAGCATTGTCAGGAAGTTATAGATTAGAACTATCTTTTGGGCTCCCCTCACTCACGCCTTTGGTCTTGAGAGACAGGATGACACCCGGAATAGAACTATGAGGAAGAAATGGTTAGACCTTCAGTCTATTTCTGTCTTTCAAGCTGTGTGAACTAGGGCAACTCAGTCTCAGAGACTTTCAGTTTCCTCATTCACCAGGAAGATCATACGTACGTGCCATTTATCAAGCTTGTCTTGAGCCTTAAGTGAAGTGAGGGACATCAGAGCATTTTATGAACTTTAAAGCTCCATATAAGACACACTTTTGTTATTAAAGAGAGGGAAAACCATTGCCCAAGATGGAGCTCACTTTGACATATGGAGAGTATACGTAGATTGATATATTATAATTTGAGAAGAAATAGTTGATCTCTGCCAATGATTCCTGTTCTCCCCGTGATGGCTTGTACCCACACCTGAGGTAAGTAATTGCTTTATGACTTAAATTTTGTAAAGAATATTATCGGCACCCTGGTTTTTGGAACAGCTGCAGCCAAGAAGCTGGGTCTGTCATGTTTCATGCCAAGATCTTGAAACTTGTTTGTTTCGGTCATAGAAGCTCTACTGGGCTTTCCCCCACCTCCTCTTCCCCTTAAAGAAGGCATTCTATGTTAAATTCTGGTTTTCTTTTGAAATATTAGTTCAAAGCAAAATGGTCATTCCATTTATAGAATTATAATTAAAGAATCTGTTTGTTACTGAAAGTTTTTTCCTATGAGCCGGCAGAGGAACTATACATGTGTATCACAAGGTTATCTGGGCTGGCCCAGTCTGCTTTGCAACTTGAATATGCTTTGAATTGCCCCTGAAATAGGAGAGGCTAAGCTTCCTAAATTTTTCTCAGCTGGTGTATACAATGGCTCTTCAAGAGTAGGTTCATTTTAATCTTTAAAAGGAAAAAGGAATTTAAAAAAAAAAAGAACATTATTAGTGAATGAAAAAGAAAATCTCGCTCTCATACTTCTGTGCTTTGTAAAATAATATATGAATTTCCTGAAGAATGCATTTTTGGGGAAGAGATGAGCAAGTCGAATTGTAAATACTGAGTTCTTTCTCACAGTCTTCATCTGCTGTTTTATCTTACATGTAAATAGGTTTTTAGAAGTTTGCTGGTACTGGTAAGTGGCATCCACATTGGGTGTTTGCATAAATGATGTTATTCTTGGTGGAGCCTTAAATATCTGAGCATTTAGGCAGATTGTTTTGTGACTGTATTGGCCCATGGTAAAATACCTTCTGGGACAGTCTTGAGTAATTTAAAACTGTTTCAGTTCAAGTCTATCTGGTGGATTCCAAAACTCCCAGAGTTGCCAAACACCCCAGATGTCTGCCACCATCAGCTTGTACAACAAAAGGGGGTTAATTACGGTGTATTTTCAAGGGAGTCACAGGATATATAAATAATCCCATTGTGTTCTTTGGAGTCTTCTATATTTATCCTCTATCCATGTTTGGGTAATACCTACATGGTAGAGGGGAGCATTTTGCTGAGGTCACATCAGTCAAAGGGATGAGACAAGCCAAGTCCACATCAGTCCCCTGTGAGCACTGATAGGCCTGTATCTTGTGATCATGAAGCGTTGCTCATGGCCTTTGGTCAGGACTTAATATGATCAGGTCTCCCCTGTATGGACCCCAGTTCCCTGACCTTTCTCAGGGCACCCAGTACGAGGGGAGGAAGGAAAGCTAACATTTGCTGAACAAGTATAAGGGCCAGGCTCTGGGCTAGCTAACTTCTCTTCCATTCTTCAGTTAGTCATTTCAGTGATGCAGCTGACATCCCAAAGGCCTCACTGTCTTAGATTTTTACCGATAATCCCAAACCTTAATTCTCTCCATCACTTGGATTTTACCAAGTATTTCTTAAGAAACATAGAACCATACCTTTTTTTTTTTTTTAAACCTACTAATAATAATCCTGCAATTTATTTCTTGCTTTTTACCATGAAGAATTTAAGGTGATTTAAAAAAGAAAACAAACCCATAGTACATCAAGATAGCATATATTACAAATGGCTGAGGAAGACAAAACAAAGTGGAAAGAGATGCACAGGCCTGAGGGGATGGGAGCAGCAGATCTAGATGTTCCTTACATGCTTTACTCCCTTTGCCATCAGAGGAAGTGGGTTTTCTGCCAAAACCACACGCAACTACCTTTTCCTGCTAAGCCAGTGAGAATGCAGCGTAGGCTGTGTCAGAAGAGACCAAGGCTCAGTTTGGCTTTCTCAAAACCTGTGCATATTACAACTTAGAAAAAGAGCATGGCAAACTTTAGTTTAGGAAACCAACAGCAGTGAAATACACAAACTTATTCAGCATGTATTTTGTGCCCTAGGTTGTGTTAGACAGCCATCATTTGGGGTCATCTACCTAATAGGTGCAAGAGGTAGGTTGTGTGCTCTCCCTTGTAAACAGGTGAAGATACTCCGGTTGGAAGAGGTCAGTTGATTTAACTAGGGACCCCCCCCCCCCCACAGAGTTAAGTGGAGCTGGGCCATGAGTCATGTCTTCTGATTGCTAAGCAGTGTTGACTTTTCAAGGGGAATTATGTATACTAAGGGAGGTGTGTCAAGTTAGCCCATTTACCTCCTCTATTTGCTTTCTCCTTACATAGGCATTTCTAACTAACTTATAATAATGGCATGTGGGTGTGATGGCAGTAAGAAGCCGCAGCTGCCAGACGGCAAGGGAGAGGAAACCAGCCATCTCCACTGCATGAAGACTGCTTAGTGACAGTCCCACACCCTTCCTGGTTCCAGAGAAGCCTGGCACAATTATGACATTTGTTAAGATGACCCACCTTATCAAGGAAAGCTCAGATCCTGTTTATTATAGTCTACATATGAAGACAAAGGAGTGCTTTATTTTAAGGGTTTCATTTGGTCTTATTTTACTGTTACAAGGGAGACAGCATGATATTATTTAGAAATGTATCTCCTCAGACTCATGATGTCTACCCTGCCTTGCCATGATTGAGGTTAACAGGTAAGAACAGGAATGGGGGGAGTGGCATGTGTAATTGCCCAGATGAACCAGAAACTTGATAAGAGAGGCAAAGAGATGGCCTACTTGTTTCAAATCACAAGCATTGGGAAATCTATTATAAGAACCATACGATGTATTGTCTTTGGCATTGAATTGCACGTGGAAGTGAGAACTTACTCATTCCTAGGAAGCAAAAGTGAGAACTAAATATGGTTAGGTTTTTAAAAATGTATATGTCCTATAAAGGGTTTTTAAAATGATATTCTAGAGAGGATAGTGTCCAGGTTTTTATCCATCTATAAATGTATAATGGACCAAACTGTCTATGTAGTGCAAAAACAAGTAAGAAATTAGCTAAATTTACCTGTGCTGTGATATTGAAAAATCAAATGGGTATACTTAAAACTCTATAAAAATTGGAAATATGGGAAATATTTTTTAGTAGATTTTTTTTCTTAGTTTTTATAAAATGACTTTTTTGTTTTTTGTTTGTTTGTTTTTTAAGAGGGAGGGAAGAAGGGGGCTGTGGGAGAGAGAGAGAGAGTCCGAATCCTAAGCAGCCTCCATACCTAGAGCCCAACTCCAGCTCACGACCCTGAGATCACGACTTCAGTCAAAATCAAGAGTCTAACACTTAACCGACTGAGCCACCCAGGCTCCCTTCCCAGTATTTAAAAGTTACGCAAAGGACCTGTAAAAATTACAATGTATAGGGTGTGCCGGGGTGGCTCAGTAGGTTAAAGACTCTGCCTTTGGTTCAGGTCATGATCCCAGGGTCCTGGGATGGAGCCCCACATTGGGCTGTCTGCTCGGCAGGGAGCCTGCTTCCCTTCCTCTCTCTCTGCCTGCCTCTGCCTACTTGTGATCTCTGTCTGTCAAATAAATAAATAAAATCTTAAAAAAAAATTACAATGTATAGCTTTGAAAAATCATTTTGAGCAGTGAAGAAATGCAATGTTTGTTTACATCTTAAGGCATATATTCACTTTCTATGGAGAGAGTGAAAGATTTTTTTTTTTAACGTGTCTGAAAACAAGTTTTGGATATGGAGTATATGTGTAAAATTCTGTTCTGAATGAGTTGTTTTCTTCTCTAACATGAGAAAGTAGTATGGAAGCCACCAGCTTTGAAACAGTGGTGCTGTTTGTTGGTCTACCTGCCATGTTGTATTGTCTAAAGAGGCTGAGGAGAGAGAGAAAAAAATGCTCCCTTCCTGCAAATTTAGTGGATATTTCCAAAAATAATAGCCCTACATCATTTACTTCTCCTTTCCCTCTGTGTTTGTTCACTGATCTTGTATTTGAGCCTTTGCATGAACCCATCTATAGAACAAATAATACTGCCTTTTTTTTGGATTTCATTCCTGTGTTTCAGGTGGGCCAGCCATGAGAGGGTACCTTGTGGCCATATTCCTGAGTGCTGTCTTTCTCTATTATGTGCTGCATTGTATATTATGGGGAACAAACGTCTATTGGTAAGTTTTAGTTTTGCTCTTTAGTATTTTTTTTTGAGGAATTTATTTATTTGAGAGAGAGAGAGAGAGCGGAGTCGGAGGAGGGTCAGAGGGAGAGAATCTCAAGCAGACTCTGCACTCAAAAAGAGCCTGATGCGGGGCTCGATTTCACGACCCTGAGATCATGACCTGAGTTGAAACCAGGAGTCAGTTGCTTAACTGACTGAGCCACCCAGGCACCCCATTATTTTTGCTCTTTAAAAATAATTCCCAAACTAGGCTTTCACAGAGAAACACAAATGATACTAGAGGTACCTATAAAACAAACAAACAAAAAACAACCTCTTTAACATTTTGAACCTTTTCTAATAGCTTTCCATTATAAGTTGGAGTTTTACCATTCCAGTGTCCTCTATGTTGTACTCTAACAGTTTAAAAACTGATAAAATAGCACCTTCTTTTTATTGACTTTTCAATGAAGCAGTGATGTTGATTATCTTTGGGATATAACATTCTGTATATATTTCATCTCCTTGAATTGATGGAATAATTTTTGGACTCAGTGGTACTTGACTGTTGAGCCTAAAATAAGAAATTACTGATTAAAATATAGACACTACATATGGTTCTCTTTGTTTAAAAATATTTGGTGGATATAGGTGTACATTATGAAACCATGTTGACTTTAAATGTCACATATAAAACTTGGAAGAGGCACAGGTAATTTTATTGCAAAGAAAAACGTATCAAATAAGCTTTTAATCGTTTTCCCTATTGTCAGTCCTTTGGCTAGGAATAAAGTTTTGATGACCTTTAAATCCTGAGTGGATGGTTGTATATGATATCAAAATAAATCACATGGTAATTTCCTGTCTTAAACTCTCACTGCTCTTTGCCAGTTTTTCAGTAGGAGATCCTAGATCACGTTTCTGGGTTTTGTTTTGTTTTTGTTTTTTTTTCCTACTAGATTAAAAAAAATTGATGCTTCTGAATTTATTTCACCACTGGTTGATTGAAAAATTATTGTAATGCTCTTCATGGAAGGAAGTTAGGCAGATGGTCCCTGGGAAAACCCAATGCCAGGTGGGTAGGTTTGGCCCTAAGTTTCTAGGCTTTGGACTTAAATACTGAGCTAGGCGACTTAGAGGGTATATTACACACTACATGAGGGTTATACCATGGGGATCTCTCCTTCCATCTTTGCCATATCTTATCTCTGTCCCACACTTAGTAACGGAAGACAGAACAGAAGAGAAAGCAAGGAGTTTACCAGATGGCTACTTCCCTACAAATCCTATTGTGTGTCACAAGGGGAATGATAAGGAAGACAATATAAAGAATCTAAATTCTACACAGTCTTTTGTCCTCAGGGTTTGAGGAGTGTTCATGACACGCTTAAGGTAACACACTCACTCCAGTCACATAAAGTACCATGGGAAATTACCTCAGCTGGGTTTTGTGCTGTGAACTTGATTCCTTAAGAATTATTTAAGACAGATACCCTTTTTAAGCCACTCAGAGTTTGTCTTCACAATCTTCTAAAAGGTCTTCTGTTTGAATAACCTTAGAAACCAAGTAATAGCTTATAGTCCATTTTGTCCTCTGAATATAATTTTGTTTTTATGGTCTAATGTCCTGGTCCACCATATTTACATACCTTCCTTACATATAAATCAAGGGATTCTTGTCATTTGTGGTATTCACCAAAGATGTTTTTCTGATAAGGACTTCATTAGCTTCGCAGTTTAGAAACCTAGCAGTTCCAACTATGCGGAATTTTTTAACAAAAAAATTGAAAATTGAAACCAATTCTTTTAGTTTGAGTCCTGTGATTATAGAAGAAATTGGATTAGTTTTTTAAGATGAGTTCCTCACATCATTGATCATTAACATGTTCTTCGTCTTCTTTTTTTTTTTTTTTTTAAGGATATGGGTCTTTTTTTTTTTTTTTTTGACAGACTTCACAAGTAGGCAGAGAGGCAGGCAGAGAGAGAGATGGGGAAGCAGGCTCCCTGGTGAGCAGAGAGCCCGATGTGGGGCTCGATCCCAGGACTCTGAGATCATGACCGGAGCTGAAGGCAGAGGCTTTAATCCACTGAGCCAACCAGGCACCCCATTAACATGTTCTTCTGTTAAGCAGTAATGAAGCTGGCTAAATCTGGATCCTGTCACCATGTTCCCTTCATTTATTTTTGTTGTCGTGCTCTGTCTTGTTTCACAATACCCTTTTAAATTGTGGAGACAAGCAGTCCATTCAGGAGACCCAGAAGGGCCTAACCTGTGCCAAGAATAGAGAGGAGTTACATATGGCTCAGAATAGGGTGATTTGTGGAAGCAGATTACAAGGCTCGTCTGTGGAATTACAGGTCTGTGTTTCTGTGGCAGGTGTCCCCAGATGTGGCATGGAGGACCGAGATAGCCATGAGCATGGGTGTGTGTTGGGTTTCTCAGGTTCTGGGTTGGGGGGACTTCTAAAAAGTCAGCCTGCTTGGGGCCTCCACAGTGTGGTACTCCTGGCCCTACTTGAAGGCTTTTTGTTCGGTGCTCACTGAATTACTTCTGGGTCGCTTGTCACCTCAGCCTTTCTCATTCTCTTGCCTTGTATCCATGCATCCTCCAACATATGCAAGGTACTGTCCTCCCTCAAGGGCTTTTGTGAGAATTTTTAATTTCATGACTGAGTAGCCTTGAGGTGGTGGCACTGAACAGATTCCCAGGGCATTCGTTTTCCTCTGGGCGGGCTGCCTGGTTCTGGTTTCTGACTGACCCTATTTTTGTCTCATAGGGTGCCACCTGTGGAAATGAAGCAGAGAAATAAGATCCAGCCTTGTTTATTGAAGCCAGCTTTTGCCTCTCTCCTGAGGTAAAAATCTAAAAGAAACTGTGACGGACGAAATGTTCAAAACGTGTTTGTGATCATTTTTCACACTTGTTTACTTTTTTTTCATGTAAATCTTAGCAGTAGAAAGTAGACACTCTGTATTTAGGAAAGAGCTTGAATATCCTGTCTCTTTTTGTGCTTTTAGTCAGAGCTCTGCATATATTTTCAGCAAAGGCATTGAAGAACTCAGACCAGTATTCTTTTCACACAGGTCAGATTAGAGAGACTGATTTGTGTTTGATTATAAAAAAGTGAACTATTCTTCAGGGTTTTACTTCCCCGCCCTTGTTGTTCCCATGTTGTTTTTCACCTTTATTATTTTGTGGCTTTTTGTCCCTGGCCTCTAGGTTAAACTTTATGATGCGACCTTTTTCCTGACTTTGAGGGACTTTCAGTGAAGTACTTGGAATGTAAATAATGATCTTTATATGGTAAAGCCATATAAAGCACTTGTAGAATAGCCACAAATATTCTTTTTCTCTGTTCCCTCAACTTTGACAGATTGCTGGTCAATAGCTTCTAGAGAAATAGAGATAAATGGCAGTCTGGTCATTTTAATTGTGTAGAACAGGTACGGGATTTTCAATATTTTACCCACTAAGGATCAAAAATGTCTATTTTCTTTTAGTCATGTTACTGCACCTTTTCATTACTGGTTCTTAGCCTCTTGGGGCTATAGATTCCTTTAAAATCAACTCTCTAGGAAACTGCAGGTACAGAAAACATTTCTGCCTGTGATCACAAGTACACATGGCTAGGACCACTGCAAAGGAATATGTTTTACTTTGGAACCCAGTCTACACTGGGATAAATACGTTTTACCTTGGAACCCAACATGTATAAATAAGGCTGGACCCTCGAGAGTGCTGTCACAGTCACAATTAAGTCTAGGGGACAGATCCTGCATCAAGCAGGAAAGGCTCATCCTCACCTGTTTCCTTAGTCTGAACATGGTGTGAGCTCTCACGTAGCTCTGAAGACTTTAAGCTTATGGGACTTGTCCAAGGTGAGTGGCTCCTGAGTGGCAGAGCCAAAAGGAAACCGGTGCTATGTTACCCCTATCCCACTGCAGTTTATTTCCTTCTTGTCATACAGCCCCTGAAACTCCAGGGCACTGTGATCTGCACCTGCAGTTTTTAAACTGAGAGAGCAGAGCTGATAAGACTGGAAAATGGGGTCAAACGTGAGGGTCAGAGTGTGCGGTAGTTTGACTTGTTCCTTCTCTTTAATTAAAAAACCTTTTTTTTCTACGTCATACTGGCTCCATAAAGAAGTAGTATGGAGGTGAAATTCATTCAGTCATTTATTAAGCATATGTAGCTTGCTTACTCTGTGCTGGGTGCTAAAATTGGGGGCACGGGGACAGAAGCACATCCCACTCTCCTCACACTGCTCTCTTGTCTGCAACAGGACCTGAGTGGGGTCAGCAGGGCAGGACAGAGCAGGCAATAAGAAGACGACACCCACAGTTCTTGTCCTTGAGAAAGTCTGAATGATATCAGAAGAGAGTTTAATCCTCAGCGCATCGAAATTTTATTATATTTTTATTTTCACAGCTGACACAACTTCATACATATGGAACTTTTAAATTTGGGAGTGGCTTAGCACCCATGCTTTTATTTTCCCTTATTGCCTGCTTGCTTTGTCTCTTCCTGCATGTGGCTAACTTGTTTTCACTTGGTATTGGTTTGTTTTTAAATTTCGATTCCCCCTCGCTAGCCCCTGAAGCTATGACGTAATTTTGTTTCCACAGCCTGGAAAGTGTTTGCACTCTGGTTGTATAGTTCCATTGCATATTCCATTCTGTGATTTTTAAAGAATTTAAAAAATAATTACACATTCACATACAGTCAGTATATCAGGAAGAGTACTATACTGCAGTTGTCTTCAGCTGTGATTATTAGAAGGCTACAGATATGTAGGCATTTGGGAAAATAACTTTTTCCTTTTCTTGCAGGTTTCATCAGTTTCACCCTTTTCTGTGTGCATCTGATTTTAAAAAGATTGCTTCCTTGTATGGTAGCGATAAGTTTGATTTGCCCTATGGGATAAGAACATCAGGTCAGTAATATTATTCTTTACCTAGCCCTAGTCATGTGAATGGTGTTTGATGTGAACCACCGATTTATGTAATTTTAAGGCCTTAAAGGAAATGCTTTGGAGATGGGATGAAGGAAATTAAATTTTAATATAAAAATCCCTACCCCTTTTTGAGGCAGTGTAGAATTTAAGAATAAAATGGCACATTTGTTGTTTTTATTGAGAAACTGCTTTTTACTTTGGTTTAGCCCCATGGTATTATTCATGCGTTCTCATGCTTTAGTTGATTCCAGTGTAGAATTAGCAGGGTAACCCTGTGAGTTGGGTTAATGTCCTTTCCAGCTCCCCTTTCCGCCTCTTTACCTCTGAGTTTTGTTTATTCCATCAATTTAAGATCTAGCTCCTGGATCAGCCTTTTGACCAGAGGGTGTTTTACTTTTGCCAAATTGAGAGAGAATCCCTCTATCTACTAACGACAGAATAGTTTTCTCTTGGCATGTCGACAGGTGAACTGGCTAGCTTTACATTGTAGATCTAGGCGAGACCCGGAAGCCCAAGAGGTGACAGGCTTACAGTTTTCCAAGTTAGATTTTGCATATTCATCTGATCCTGGTGTATTGTATGCATGGGTGTGTATATGTTTTAAAAACATACCGCAGAGAATTTGATAATACAGCTAAATTTACTGAAAATTGGTTTCTAGACTAATGTCAGTTTGAAAGACTATATTCCATACTAATGTCATTTGATGTTGATATTTATTGTTTTCAGATTAAGCATCTTTTCTTTTTTTCTTTTCTGGACTTTTTGTAACGTGTCCTCAGAGCATTTTTGAGTGTGCCTGTTGAATAGTGCTGGCTAAGTGCAGCTGTATTGTTAATTTTCACCACGGAATAAACCCCTGGGGCCGTTACCAGTTTGAAATGGGTTTGGGGGAGGGAAGGGGACAGATGGCTTACTAAGTACCTACGAAGCCATAATTCCTTTTATTTATATTATTCCATTTGTTTTCTAGCGGAATATTTTCGACTTGCTCTTTCAAAACTGCAGAGTTGTGATCTCTTTGACGAGTTTGACAAGTGAGTTTATTTCCTTGCTTTTGTTTGACGAGTTTGAGCTAATGGGGTTCAAAATGTGCACCCCATTTTAAAATGTCTTCATACAAGAAGATTCCTTAGTATTTGTGCATAACTAAAACCTCTAGTAGTTATTTCTGTGATACTTCAAATACAATACAAAATCAATTTAGAAGCTGCATAACTGGTTGTCTCAAAGGTTTGCAGAGAGCCTTACAATGATGAGCAGCGCTAGTTCCAGGTCAAGATACTGTATTCCACATTCGTCTTTTCTAAGTTGTTGGTACTGAAGAATTAACTTATAGCCTCCATTGCTCAACTCACAGCCCCCTCCACAGGCTGTTTCCTGTACCTTCCCATGAATCTTTTTAACATGAGGATCCTTTCTGTTTCACTTGAATATTGGATTTCAGAAGCACTCTCTTCCTCTTATTCAGAATTATACTGGAGGGAAGCAAACAGCTTGTTTAGATAATACATTTTCTGACTGCAAAAGGTCATGGAGTTTGTAGAATACTCTGGTGTCAGGTTAGCTGTGTAGGAATGAAATTGCTAAAGATAGACTTCTTAGCAGGTATACTTACTTTTAAAGAGGTAGAATTTCTTCTCAAATTTTTAAGCTACATTTTAGGATTTGGCCAGTGGTCCCGTTGGATGGTACAGGTGGTCTGCAGATGTCAGGCCTCCACTGAAAAGGAGAATGACAGAATTTTCCCTCTTGCTCAAGAGGACAGGTGAGCTATTTAGTGGAAACCCTAAGTGAGGGTAGTGGACAGAGGTATGAAAATGGAGATAGACTTTACAGAATAGCTAGAGGAACAGTGCTCGATTTTGTCTGAATTTATCTCCTTTTTCTCTGGGAGCCCAGATTATGAGTGTGGATTATGTAATAAATGTTGCTCATTTCAGCTTGTATTTACTTGTTACCATTTAAAACTATGTCTTCAACTTAATTTCAGTTTTTGATTGCATATCAACACCAACCACATCTGTTCTTTCCTCACCTAAAGTTTTATAGCTCCAATGGGTAGAATATTGTTTTATGCAGACCTTTGGCATATGTGCATTCTATCATGCTTCCCAATTTTTACCATCAATCTGCAAACTATCCCTGATAATCCCTTTTTTTTCTTTTTTTTTAAATGGGGGAATTGAAGCTAGACACACATACATAGTTTTCTGCAGTCAGCAAATGCTAGAGCCAGGATGTGAATCTAGAGAGTTCTGTCCAGTGCCTGAATGTTTGACATAAGAGTAACCATCACAAGATCCTTATCCCTGTAAATGTGAGCTACTGTCAGGATTCTTGGGGTGGGGGGTGCGACTAGAAGTTTCATTCTTTCCTGGTTTTTTAGAACTACATTGTACTGTATGTAGTTGCTTTCAGAAGCCCTTCTCACACAGGTGTTCATCATCTGTGCGTCCCTCAGGCAGGCTCTTCCCTCTCTTCTTGCTGACTTGAACTTGCTGTTCCCCACCCTTTGTCCTTTGTCACTGAGCATGTCCCCCACTCCCACCCTCAACCCGTGTCAGGCTCTGAGCATCACCCAAATTAGGAGAGGTGGGTATGGGTGGTGAGGAGGGATTAAAGATCTTGCTGATCGCACAGGAGCCCTTGAGTCTGAAGTTGTCAAGGGACTGAAGTAGAATAAAATAATGTAGTCAGAGACTTTTCAGGTAGAGAGGGAATGGAGAATATCCTTGTAGGATGCCCGCAGAGTGCACACAGGGGATGCGTTCAGATACTGAGTCAGCATTGCCGAATGGCTTGTTTGTGAAAACCTGTTTCCTAGGGACTTGAGAAAGTATTTTGAAAGCAGATCAGAATACACTTATAACACTATTACATTCTATGTGCATATTAACTTTTGGGATGGGTTCACATGTAATAGTAAATTATACCTATATTTTAAGCAAGTCATTCTGCATTTGTCTGGAAGCCACTGTACAACACAAAGACTATAACAGACCAATCCGTGCCTGAGCGGTGTACTTTACATAAACTCCCGAAAGGCAGAATATACAAAACTACCTTATTGTTGCCTCCAAGTCACCTCACTTTGGTCACCATATATGACCTTAAACATCTCCCATTTCTCTTTTCCACCTGGGAAAATTCCTCAAGAGGAAGCAGACTCGAGAACAGACTCTTTTTCAGGCAGAGGGGGTGGACTACCCCAGCCAAGGTGTCAGGAGGTGGCCATACACAGGCCAGGTGGAAGCTTCATGGGCCTGGGCGGGGGTAGGTTGCTCTCTCTTTGTCATAGGTCTGTAGGTTGGGCAGGGCTGAGCCAGGAGAGAGGGGGAGCTCGGCCTTTCCAGTCCCTTCTGCTCTGGGCTGCTCTCTTCATGGATTTTATTCTCCCTCTGTCCTCTGTCCCTTCCAGAAAGGTTTAGACATTTTGTCATTGTTTCAAATCCGAATCCTTTCAGTTCTACCAGATCCAAGTCCTAGTTTTTTTCCGTTGCATTCCCTCGCTTGTGTGATGCCTTCCGTTGGGACACATTGCACTGTGAATGGCAAAGCTCTAAATATCAGATGGGTTTACAAGATGGGAAGCTTCCCCTTTCTCACAGGTGTGACTGAACTGAAGCCTGCAGGTTGACATTCCAGAGCCAGTCTGCTAGGATGATCGGCAGGGGCCTGGGCTGTTCTGTTGTGAGTCTGCCATTTCCATATATAGAGCTTCCTCCTCAATGTCCAGTATGATGGGGGACCCTCACCCATCACGGCTGCATTCTGGCCAGTAGGGAGGAGCAAAGGGGAAGGCCATGCCCCTGCCCATTAAGACGTGCCTCCTGCTTTAAGGACATTGCCCAGAAATCACATACAATACTCTTTTACACCCAGGAGTGTGCTGCAGCCAGTTGGTACCAGCTTGAGTAGTTCTTCCCAGCTCCATGATCAGTGCCATCAAGGGAGAAAGTTGAAATTAGCCACTCGGGGTATTTATACCATAGAAATGGGCAACACTGCAAACCAGGGCTTCTCCTGTCATATCTTTTTCTCCCAGAGAGAGCTGGTGGTTAACATCAGTTAGCAGCCACTAGGTTGTATCCCATTGACTAGGGATATAATCACAAGGTCACACCGAGCTGGAAGATAGGTGAGAAATGTAGCCTTAAAAGAAAAAAAAAAAAAAAGTCGTCTTTATTAAAAGTGGCTGTGTGCCCACATTAAGAAAAAATTCCTATTTTAAGGGACAAAGGAAGCCTTATTGAGGGGCAACTGGTCTCCAAATATTTAGGATTCTGAAGTCAGTTACATGACTATATCAACCTAGCTGAGTGCTTGAGGAAGCCATCCATGGTTTACCTCTTGGAGAATTGATCACCTGCGAAAGCTGTTGAAACATATTGGTGTTGTAGTTCATTTTGAAGGGGCATTTCTTTTTTTAAGTTTTTAAATTTTACGTATTATTTTATGAATTTGACATTTTTTTTAAAGATTTTGTTAGAGAGAGCCCACGTGCAACTTGGGGGGCAGAGGGAGAGAGAGGGGGGATCTCAAGCAGACTCTATGGTGAGTGCAGAGCCTGTCACAGGGCTCGATCCCATGACCCTGAGATCGTGACATGAACTGAAATCAGGAAGTCAGCCGTGTAACTGACTGAGCCACCCAGGCACCCCCTGAAGTGAAATTTCTCATGAAGGACTTGTTACATGTGCCATATTGGTCGGTAATGTTAGTAGAGTAACTCTGAGGCAGAGAGAACCTTTTTCTAAAGCTAATACCATGAAGAAGTTGGGTGAGAAATAAACAAGGAAAGGAGCAGGAGTGTGTGTCTTTGGCCATGACACTTGTGTGAAAGACCCCTGGAGCTAAAACATTCCAGGCTTGTTCTCTGTTCTGCTTCCTCCTTGGCTATCCACTCCTGGTTTGCCACCAAAACACAAAACAAACCAAAAAAACCAGACTCACCTGTACGTTTTCTAAGTTTTTGGTCACCTAGTAATTACAATAATTTGCCTCCCTTTGTGTAATCGTATCTGTTAGAAAACTTTTGCGTTATAGAAGATTGCTTTTCCCCCTAGTTTTGTGACAGGGATCCTCTGTTCTCTTTGGAAAGAGGGTACCTTGCAATGGGACAGTGTATTACTCATTTTATTTATCTTCTTATTTTATATATATATATATATGACTTTTTCCTTCATATTGTTTGAGTTTCTCTCCTGAGCAATGGCCCAGCAGGTTGGGGTGGGGTAAACACTGGACACTGAACACTGGACACTGTCCTGTTCTGTGAAGTCCAGGGAGCCAGATTCTAAAGCAAAGTGGTGAATGCTGGAGATGGTCAGAGGCAGGAAGGGTGGAGATTTGCTCCAACTCCCTCATTTGAAAGGTGAGAGAACCAAGGTGATATGGAAGGTTATGTGGAGGTCTGCAGACTTCTGGTCTCAGGACCTCCATCCACATTTTAACAAGCAGAGAAAAGATAAGAAAGACCCTGCAATTGAATGTCTTGAACTGAGCATAATCTGAAGAGATAAGAGCAAGAGAATTCTGGAATTGTGAATTCTTTTGGACATATTCTTTAGGATTTCCATGCATTATATATTACATATATATATATATAATATTATATAATATTATATATATATATATATTATATTATATAGTTTATGCCGTTATCCTTAACCTCAAACCGTTTTTAACCAGATGAACTTTAATACTCTGGCAGGGTTAAACCAAAACATCTCTGGGTACATGAGTAAGTTCATTAAAAACGCATATATGTTAAATCGGGCTTTTTTTTCTCTTGAAGATACGTGATTTCGATAGAATCTTCTCTGTATAGATACTATAGGAAAACATTTTTCTTTGCTCATCTCTCACCCAAAGTTCAAGCGCAGTAAAAGTGCCTCTGATTCTGGCACTGAGCCAGCAAGTATGGCAAAGGGAAAAAGTCTCAAATGTTGACAAGCCACTTTTTTTTTTTTCAATTTTATTTATTTGACAGAGACCCAGTGAGAGAGGGAGCACAGCAGGGGGAGTGGGAGAG